CTCATACATTTATGGTGTTCCATATATTATAGATTGGTTTGATCTTTCAATCATAATGAAACTTCTCCATCTATCGTCAATGCTGTCATCATAATTGTATTGCATGTATTTTTATGTGTACGCCAAAAACATCAAGTGATTAACACATATGCAATGCGGAAAAAACTTGTCAAATTTTTTGCATAGCATGTATGATTTTGGCCTAATCCTATAAAACTATGTAGATGCCTCATATGCCGTGGTTAGGAACTATAAAGTAAAATGTTTATTGGAACTGGAGAATTCATCCCTTTACCTCAAAGCATTTGTGAACCTTATTTAGCCTTGTCAATCCAGCTGAAGCTATTAGGGGAAGGATCAAAACGGTTTTATGCTTAACACATCCCTTCACACAAGATCTCTTTCGGCTTGAAGCGAGACCAATGCATGCTCACATTCCTTGTGATCAAATTCAAACGATTAGGGTGGAACGAGTCAAACTCCTGACTACTTCATTGTAGAGGTTATGATACAGCGTCAACAAATATTAATCTTAAAAGCTTATGCTATTAGGAAAATGTATACGAATGGGTTTCATAAGATGATTTTTAAGCTGTGATTTCATTTGCTTGAGATATAAATGTAGCGTATCTGCAGGTGATCTCACAAGTTATTCCTCTGTGATTGTGGAATGGTGGTTGAGAATCAAAATGATATTGAAGTTTTATACATCTTAGATAATCTTGCACCTAGTTTGTATGATACAATTCCTTCATTCCAGGATTAGATTTCCTTGGCCATAATAAAAACATGCACCTAGTCTATATGCTGGTACAAAACATTGAATTCATGATGCAATAAATTGTAAATTTGTTCGACCAGTAGCTGAATGTGTGTCTAGATGGTTGGCTTATTGAAGTACTTTGAATTTTTATATTATTGTACAAAAACTGTAATTTGGTTTCTGTATATCAGATTCATCATGATAAATAACAAGAAGTTATAGAGAAGTCAAATATAGAATTCATTCAAACAGAATCAAATAGAAGTGGAAGAATACTTTACCTGTGTAATTTGAGATAGAGAGTTACAGAAAAATTACAGCACAACTATAAGATCTACAATATTGTATAGTATTAATTGTTATATGGTAAAGAGTCATCAAGAAAATACACCCAATACTACTGCCTAGACGAGGGAGTGATTACCTAGGTAGTAGAATGATGAATGAAAGAATTAGAGAGATAAAGTCAAGTTAACACCTATGATAGACTTACAAACACCAGTAGGGATGATTGACCAAATAGAGGATAGTCTATAAACCAAACCATTAAGAATTATTTTGATGTCAACAGTTTATTGTTAGACATGATTCATGATGAGACATTAGAATGGTTACATTCGATTAGCAGGCTCTACTTAATGTGAAAAGGATTTGGGTATTGCAGTTCATAAACTATCACGGATAGTTGTATTGGTGCAATCAATGTACCAATAACATATAAAACGTTAGAGAATTTATTTTACTGTTAGAGTTTGGTAATGTTAATTTTGCATAGCAAAATTATTAAGATGACAACGGTTTTATTCTCTTTTGGGATGTGGAAATCTTGCTGTATCTTTTCATACTTCTCTTGGTGGCATATTCATGGTAATAGTGTCTCTTTTTGGCAGTCCATTATTATTTTCTAAATAATGTTTACAGTGCTTCTATTGATTTTCAATAATTTGTTATCTCTTTTAAGTCGATATGAAGTTGGCTCGATCATCTTGTAAAGTTTTTATAATTTCACTTTTATTGAGTATACGGCTTATGCAACTTGTCATTTTCAAGTTTTAATTATCCTTAGTTTTCTTAACATTTTTTCTGACACTTCATAAAGATGGATACATTTTTTTATTTGTTATTTAGTGACAATCCAAAGATCCAAGCTCCAATTTCCATCCCATTTTTGCTTCTACGGACTAGAGCTAACCCACTTTTCTCTTTTTCTTTCCACTGTACACATTATTAGATTTCACAATTTTGCACTCGGATCAAACTAGCTGGTTTATATTCATATACCACATAAAACAATTATTTTAATATCGGAAATGGAGATATATTACTTTTGTCCCTTAACCTTGTTTTTATGGTACTTAATATTTTTTGTTTTTGGTGATAATATTGTTTGAAGTTATTTGACTCGTTATTTTGTTTGATATCTCTGCATGAGAAGACTTGAGTGTTCAAGCAATCACTAGTTGGCTACTAGCAAAAACACTCGGGGTTCAAAATGTGTCGATTGTTGCGGAAGAAGACGTACAAGTTTTCTCCAAGGACAATTCAACAGCCTTACTGGAAGCTGTTGTGGATACTGTTAATGAGTCTTTATCTTTTGTAGCCATGTACGGTCTTCAAAGTCCAGAAACAACTCTTGGGACATCAGAAGTTCTTGAGGCCATTGGCCGCTGCAGCTCAACAGGAGGCCCCAGTGGAAGGCATTGGGTACTTGACCCTGTTGACGGCACATTAGGATTTGTACGTGGTGATCAGTATGCGGTTGCTCTAGCTTTGGTTGAGAATGGAAAAGTTGTTCTTGGAGTTCTTGGGTGCCCCAATTACCCAGTGAAGACAGAATGGCTAAGTTATCACTACCAGTATCATGAAACAACATCCCAATCATCTCCAACAACTACCGATGCATGGGGAAAAGGATGTGTGTTGTATGCTAAGAGAGGCAGTGGTGAGGCGTGGTTGCAGTCGCTGATTCCTGCAGATAAGATGCTAGAATGGCCAAATTGTGCGAGACGTATTCGAGTTTCTTCCGTTGATGATCCAGCGCTGGCAACTCTCTGTGAACCAGTGGAAAGAGCAAACTCAAATCATTCCTTCACAGCTGGCCTGGCTCACAGTGTGGGACTTAGGTATTACTATTCTCAATTTTTATTTCAAATGTTCTGCATCTTGACTTATTTCACACATTTAATTGGCTGAAATTACATCCATATAATTGCATTGCAGACTGTATTTAAATAGTATTATTTTTAAAGATTCAAGTGCCATGACAGAAATCATTTTTAGACCAGGTAACAACAGGGTAGTACAACTAGAAATTGGGCAACTATATATGTTGAGAGTCCCACATTACATGAGATATGACCTTAAAATGTGTTAATAAGTGAGAGGCATCTCTCATCTTATAAGTGGGTTTTGTATTATTAAGCTAGGTCAAACCCAAATTTTAAGATGGTACCAAAGCATATCCTAGTACTCTTATTGGGTTCTAGATGTCCAGTATGCTAGAGGGTGTGTGTTGAGATTCGTGTTATTCCACCTACATTAGTCCACTCTTCATATGTTGTCTTGAGAGTGAGAGGTGTGTTGAAAGTCTGGCATTAACTTTAGATTTGGTCAATGTAGTGTTTATAAAGCTTGGACAATTCTTACTTAACAAACGAGTTTTCTAAAGTTGAATTAAGCTCACTCCAAAATCCAAATTCTAATATACATTAGAATTGATGAAGACAGTATAATAGAATGCCAGACATTTTAATTCTTTGTATTTCCAAAGGAAACTATAAGGTACTTCAAATAAAAAATCTTGGAATAGGAAGCGATTTTTTGGTTTATTTAATTTCTCACCCCAAACCTTTGGAAAGTTATAACTGAATTTCTTATTTGACTATGAGAATAAGTTATTATGAAAGGAAGGATTTATAGACTAAACACCATAGGGCCTTTGACACCACATATCCATTCAAAATCTTCAAACAATGGGAATATGAGTCACTTCTCTTATAAGTTCAACATTTCCTCCATTCCTAGTCGATGTGAGACTTTAATACTTTTCACATTTGAAACCCAACACCCGTTTACTTTTAACGTTTCATGTTTTCATCTTAATTATTTTCTTTTACAACTCTTGCAAACAAATCTAGCATTTCCTGAAAATTTCAAAATTGTCAAAACACTGTTTTAGTTGTTTTTGAAAATGCATTATTTGCAACTTGTGTTTCACATCATCTCTGTCATAATTGTTACATGAGTCATGACTGGGGAGTTCGGGATAATTGTTACTATATTTCTATCTTCTTTTAACACGATATTTGGGATTGAAATGCTCTACTCTCTCAAAATCTGGTACAGAAAACAGCCCTTACGCGTCCACAGCATGGTAAAGTATGCAGCAATAGCAAGGGGAGATGCCGAGATATTCATGAAATTTGCAAAGTCCGGTTACAAGGAGAAGATATGGGATCATGCTGCCGGTGTTGTGATTGTTGAAGAGGCCGGTGGTGTGGTGACCGATGCTGGAGGCCGCCCTCTGGACTTTTCAAAAGGAACATACTTAGAAGGTCTTGACCGTGGCATAATTGCATGCTCTGGTGTCACATTGCATGAAAAATTGATTGGTGCTGTTTATGCTAGCTGGGATTCCTCAAATTTATGAGGCTTTTTTCCTCACTCCAATGTTTTTGTATTCATTTAATAGCTCATTTTTCAGTATATTGATAGGAAATTTATATTTAACCCGAATATACATTAATCCTATGATATCCAGAAAATGAAATGAAAAAGAAGAATATACATTTATCCTATGAAAGTCCATAGGTATGTGTGGATACTGAATGCTAGTGTCATCCTTTTTTCGTTGCCATAATATTTTCATAATTAAAATTCTTTATAAAAAAAATATGTTTGTGATATCAATCAAATATGAAATTGTAAGAAATATTGGTATGCTTTGAGAAAAATTTTAATTATTGTATTTTTTGTAACAATGAGATTATTGTAAAAAAATTTAAATATTGGTGTGTTTCATGCCACAAAAAAAAAATTAGAAATTGAAACGATAATTTATAATAGTTCTCCTGATCATTAAAATCAAGGTGTTAAGTTTTTCACAGTAGCTAAACAAATAAAACATTGAACTTTTTATTCAAGGGAAATCCATGACAAACACTTGTCTTTTTACATAACACAAGACAGAAAACAATAACATTATCACAAACAACATCAATAATTTTTTTGCAAACTATTATACCATTCCCACTGTTGGCAACACTAGTACAATCACATTGTTGTTGTTTCTGGAATTTTCACCAGGAACAAATAAACAAGCACTACAATCAGCAGAAAGAAGTGATGTAGTTCTATATCTATCTTCACCCCCAACCACCGGCATCGCCACACCTAATTTAGCCGCTGGATTTTCAAAATCCGGCTGATAAGTCCTCCCAAGAACACCTTCAACTTTTGAAGGCAGATCATAAAATTTAAACTGAACCTCCAAATGAGCAAAACAATCATTATCAGGAATTTGATAGTTATGAATTCTACTATCTTCCTTAGTTACAGGCACAACATTCACATATATCTCCACAATTCCGTGAACATTAACAACAGCACTGTTGGTGTTTGATGTTCTCTCTACACTAATTTTCTTTTCTTGAAACTCCCATTTAGAGAGGTAAACTTGCGGAACATGAAGTTCCTCTCCATTGTAAGAGAATTTCAAATGATCAATTTCATTATCCCATTTTGTTGGTTTGGTTGCTTCAACAATGAAGTTGTGAGACTCAAAAAGGACTCCAAGTGCTTGAATCCATGTATAATCTCTTGTTCTACCTTTAGGTCTTAGGCCAATGAAACGAGCATTGATTTGAAGATTTTGACCAGATACTAAGGCGAAATGTTGATTGGATCTTCCATGGAAGTAGAAAACTATTCCATCTGCTCCAACAAAGCGCGGGTCTAAGCATGCTGATCCACGGCCATTGCAGTTTGGTTTGCGATCTGTTGTTATTGAATTTTGAAATAGAGAAATGAAAACTTTTACTCAAAATGGTAATATGAAGATAGAATATAAAGAACTTACATTTGCATTGAGTTTTGCATACGGGAGAAGCACAGTCAAGAGAACAAACTTTGGCATTTGGATCAGAGGGTGATTTAAGAGGGCACTGAGTAGGGCATTTTATTTTCTTCCCAAAACATGGACTGCTCAGAAAGTTGCAGCTCAGATTGTCTGTTACTGCTCCTGAAATTGTTTCCATACTCATTGCAAAAGAAAGCAACACAAAAAATATTAAGCAATTTCTCCTAGAGACACCCATCACTACTAGCTTCCTCTGATAATACAAAGGAAATAAACTCTCCTATGATGTTTTCTCTTTTCCCTACTCCGTCACCCTACCATATATTTATACTAAACAAGTGCAAATGTTTTTTATCTTCTTTCATTTATAATTTAATTCTAGTATTGAGAAAATGATAGTTGACCTATGTGCCTTTGAAGAGGGGCAAAGGACTCTTGATTGCTTGTATCGGAAAGGCAACATAGACATGTTATTGACACAACGCTAAGTCTGGTGTAACCATAAGAGACGGAGGGAACTCGTGAAGAGAGTATGATGCTATGTTGTTTTTTTTTTATTGTTTTTTTTTATTAAGTCATATATGCTATGTTGTTAGGCCATTTATATTATTCTTCTATCTATTATGTTATATTAAATTTCAAACTAAAAAACAAACATATTTCTATCGCAATCCACATTAATTTCTAGAGAGAGTTGCGCTTCCTTCTCTCTACAATTTTTCCCTCCAACCTTTTAGGGTTTGGAGGCTATCTCCCACCTTCATGGTGACTTTCCTCTCCCACCTTTATAATGATCCTTTATAATGATCATCTCCTCCTCTTTTGAGAGCACTACCCACTATTTTCAACTACGTCCACGTGCTCTTATCAAAACTAACTCACTCATCGATTACTCTCCATCTTTACTACACATCATTGTCAACCATTTATTCCCGTTGACGCGGTTGGCACCAAAGCCACCACCATTAAGAAATGAAGAGTTTACAATGGTAGGTTTTTGCATCTCAAGTTTAACAATAGTGATTGTACCTCTCTCCTATGTAGATGCTCTTACACCTCATATGTTGGCAACCATTCGTTCATCTCCAAAACCGTCATGAAATTTTACATTTGCAGTGTTGGCAACCATTCGTTCATCTCCAAAACCGTCATGAAATTTTACATTTGCAGTTATTTCCTCAGCCAGATTTGCTTATTTCTGTTTATATTTATGTGTTTTCTATTTTGTGTCTTTATTTTTTGGGATCTAAGTTTGCACTCTTAGCGTTTGACAAAAAACTTCAAAAGTGTTTTGTATCGTGAAACATTGCCCACATTTCCATTATTCTTCAATTAATCTTCAAACATTTGATAAAGGTGGACAATCTTGAGAGCAACGATAGTCAAAATGCGCAAACATAAATTAAATAAATCATTTGTATTAGATTTGGAAAAAAAACAGTTGATTCTATTTTCTATCTTGCCATTGACTGTATTCGTAAAATAATGAATGACTGTGATAAGTTGTTGTTCTTGCTTCTGGTTTATTCGTGTCCTGTTAATTTGTGAAGAATCTATGTGTAATGTGTTTTATGACTATGTAATTTTTTTGTTAGATTTGACTGTAAACTATGAATGAGGTAATGTATTATTTCAAGTGTCTCATAATATTTGTATTATCTATGTTTTCTTAATCAAATGAATGTGTTACCTTTAAATAAATTACAAACTCCAATATATTGTTGTCCCCTTGTTTTGTTTCATGGCTTCCCCAAATATAATTTTTAAACTAAGTATTATACATATATTTCAATACCCATTTTTTATACATATTTTTTTATATTGATTTTTTTTAATAAATTTGTATACACATTTATAAATATTATCGATATTAATCACTTTGAGACTTGACATTGTGTAATACGGTGGGAGAATTGACTTGAGATGTTTTGCGTTTGATCGTAATTGTTGTGGTTAGCAAGAGTCGCCATCGACTTTTCTTTTATCCAAAAAAGAAAGGTGGAAAAGAACAGGAAAGATCTTTGAGATTATTTCTTGAGTTCGGGGGGTAGATTATGAAAAGGGAAGGTATTAGTACCCTTTTCATCCATAGTTATCTACGGGCTCTTAGTTGCTTGCTAGATCAATTGCTTTGTTTGAAAATGTGCTTTGTGATGGTTTTTGAAAGTATTTTTGAAAAGGCGCATTCGTTTAGGCAAACTTTGTAATGATTCTCGTTTCGGCGAAAATATATACAAAGTGTTGGACTTTTGAAAATATTTCATGTTTTGAAAGTGTTTGGTGTTTGTTTTAAAAGTGTTTGGTGTGTGTTTGTTTTGAAAGTGAGCAAACAACTAAGAACGTTTCTACCTACTCAAAAGTCTTTTGTTCATTTCTCCTTTCCTTTGATTTTTCTATCTTACCATTGATTGGTGAGAAGCCTTATCTTTGGATGTAAAGGGACGAGCGTGGATCATCATATAGTCATGATAGCAATGTTGTGAGATATCTTAGCATTTCTCTTGAGAGACTAAGATCATTTGTAAGGCAACATTCGTAGCGTCATCGAGGGACTATGATCTTGTATTTTTTATTGTTTTTGCTAAGACATCCCACATGCATAACATGATCATCTTTTAGGCAACAAGTGAAGTTAACCTTAGGGGTGCATGTGTGAACAGTATGTTTGATTTGCATGCATTTAATCTTTGATTAGGGTTATCTACTTGTTGATTTTTTATCTTCCCACACAAACCCTAATTAATAGCATTTATATGAAAGCGACAAATTACGAAAAATAAATTTACTACGCTATTACATCATTTGGGGATGAGGTATACAAATTAAAAAACGGGGATTGCAAGAAATTAAACCTAATTATCTATTACAACTATATTGAATTGAATAATGTACAAGGAATGAAAATATAATGTACAAGGATATAAATGGAAAGGAAATGATTTTTGTTTTGTTTTTAAGGAAAGGGTTTGATTTTGACCTAATTAACTAAAAGAAGTAATTAATTAAGATAAATAAAATTAAACCTAAACTAATTAAAAAAAGAAATTAAGTTAGAAAGCATTTTTTAGGTTTTTTTAGAAAAGGTTTTAAGTTTAATCAAAATAGTATGAAAATTAATTAATTAAAAGAAAACCTAAATTCTAAGTTAATTTTAATTAAAAAAAGAAAATAAATAAACTTAAATCTAATTATTAATTTATTAAGAAAAAGAATTAAATTTGTTTAAGAAAATATTTTTGTCTTTTTTAGTTAAAAAAAAAGAAAGAAATAAAAATAAGAGAATATAAGTATATTAGATAAATAAATAAACTATTTTTTTAGATTTTTATTAATAAAAATAATAATAATAATAATAATAATAATAATAATAATAATAATAATAATAATAATAATAATAATAATAATAAAGATAATAAAGAAAAATAAAATAAAATGAAATATAAAAATAAAAATAAAAGTCAGGGGGGTGAAAATGACATTTAGGGTGTATGTTAGAAAAAAAACAGTTTTGTTTGAAGTCTGACCCATTAATATTTTTGTTTGGAAATCAGAAAAGAATAAATGGGTTGTGTTGTGACAAGCATGAAGGGGGTGAGTCTCAGCAAAAAAACAAGGTCCAATGGCCTTAGGCGCAGGCGTGCATGCTGTGTGACAAAACAAAGGAAAATGTTGAAAAATGAAGAAAAAAAGTGGCAGCACTGGGGCTTGAATCCACGCCCTTGACATGATACGTGCGCTGCCTTACCACTGGGGTGGCTATACATCCGTTAACTTAAAAAAACCATAAATATATAACACAAATTCATTCCTAGAAATGAACTTCATCTTCAACCTCTTGTCAGGGTCCTTGTATCTCATTCATTTCTCATCCATTCTCAAAAATTCCAACATCAAACTTGTTAGAAATTTTATCAGGATTCCAGAAATGTAAACAATTTGGACTAACAATCAAAGATAAGCATGTATTTCTAAAAGTACCAAATTCTGACCTAACTTTTTTCATAGATTCAAACTTAAAATTCTCTAAGCTCAGTCAATATAAATGAAAACTATGGACATGTACAACTTCAGGGTAATTTTATCTTTGAAAATGAAAGCCTAACAATGCTTAAATGAAGAGATCGAAGTTCAGAAAAAATACTTCAAGAACTGGAAATCGTGAAATGAGTCTGAGCTTCTTTCAAAGAGTTGTGATGATCATGTTAGCTTCCTTAAGTTCTTAGAAAGCTAATGCAATGCTTAACTTAAGCTATGGATGGCTGGAATGGTCTGGAGAATTCAAGTTGCAGACCTCTGTTTTTGGTTATGGAGGATGGAGATGGAGATGTTAGAGTTCTAAAACAAGGACATGGATGGACTATATTTGAGGTATAGAAGTTTTGCAAATGAATTTGAGGGAAAACGCACGAGGGAAATGAGAGATACAAGTTCAAGGTCAGAGCTGTGTATCAATGGTGTTTTTGAGAAATTTCTGGTTTGTGAGTGTTTGAGGGAGTTTCAGGGCCTTATCATTCGTGTGTTAGCTTGCAAATAGTGTCTCTATTTATAAGCAAAAGGTTTTGAGACTTGAAACAACTCAGAATTTGAATTTACATGTTTAGCTCAACATGTGATTTTTTTGACAAAACAAGTTTCCATGCCTTTGTACTTGGTTCATAGAGTTGTTAACCACTTTAAACACAATTACTCTGACTTTGTGGAGTGTACTCAAAGAAAATAAATTAGGAGCTCTAGAAGTTGACTTTGTGCATAAAGCTTTCTTTACAAGAATTGATATGTTACTTTCTCCCCAAAATGACAAATTGGTTTGGACAAAGCTTGAAGCACTTGGATAAGGGCATAATCAGTTGTGTAAACCATTAATTATGGAGTGACAAACAAGTTTGTGGTATGCAAAGTGAATATTATGCAGCATGGCTATGTATTTGGTTCATGTTCATCACAAAACATGTCTTGCAAAACAACTTTGAAACCCTAACTTCTTGCCTTCGATTCTCTTAGCTCAAGTATGCTCTTGATGAGTTCTTGGACATTTTGGAAAGATTGTAACATCCCCTACAACCTTCATATTGGAAATTTTTGAAGATTCAATTTGGAACTAGGTGAAAAGTTTCCATGAAGTTAGGTCAAAATCCAGACTAACTAGGGCAAAATTTCACTAAGTCTTTTTAGTTTCCAGACATGTCTTCATAAATTCATAACTTGAAATCTAATCATTTATAGAAAAAGTTCTTCCCT